AGGAGTGCTGAAAAACACGAGGAAGTAATTAGAAATCCAAATTTATGGCCCACTAAAATATTTCCCTGTCCCTTTCTCTTTGCGTAAAATGTCTGTGTTTACCCGCTGTCCCACTCCTCTCTCCCACGGGTCTGTCTCCCATTATGGGCCTCGCTCTTTTCATTAACGGTGCTTCTCGTTAAGCTGGTAATCGGGTCCTCTGGCCTTTCGCTCTCCACCTGGGAGGGTTTGGAATAGGCAGGCTCGGCTTTGAGGGAAGCCAGGGCAGGTGTCAAAACCCTCTTTTTAGAAACTCCTTATCTCTCGCAGGAGTTAATGTACAAACTGAAGGGCTGAAATTCCTCCGGAGGGCCCTCCCTTGTCAGAGATTTTCCTCTTGGGAACAATAGGTTTGGAGAAGCATTCTGAGCGGCTTGATTTCAGCTCATCCAAGGGGACTTCATCATAGAAATGTAGAGTTGGAAGGGACCCCGAGGGTCATCTAGTCCAACCCCCTGCAATGCATGGATCTCAGCTAAAGCATCCATGGCATCCATCACCACATCTTGCAAACCTCTTTGAGATTGTCCTGAGCCACCAGTTTGCACATCCATGTCTGCCACATGTTCGCTCTTAACATCATTTCCTTGTTGGAATGAACCACCTTGAGGTTATTGCTGCACACACACACACACACACACACACACACACCTTGTCCACTAGAACCCCATTAGCCTCATATGCTAATGTCGCTTGCGAATTCCAAGAAGCCAAAAAAATAATAAAAAAAATTGGTGCAGTTTTGAAACCAGTGGTTAAATTAAGTTCAGCATTGAAAGGTTCAGTCCGCCATCTTGATTCAAAATGGCATCCCAGTGTATCCAACAAAGACAGAGACCTGCTCCCTGTTCTCAGGCACCAACATGCAAAATTTGGTTACGTTACGGTATCTTAAGACGTGTCCAAATGCATACATAGCAAAGACATTGTAGATATAATAATATATCCCCAACCACAGACCTTCAAAGTGGCTTACGGCTTTTAAAAAACTATTACAATACATTATAATAGCACAGCACAAGCAAAATAAAGCCAAGTCCTCCCCTGCCAGCAACCCTCCCCAAACTCAACAACCATAACATTGCAGTGGAGAGCCAGAGCAAAGACAAGTTTACTGTTTTTCCTGTTCATTTATAAAGCGCTCCAAATTTTCTAAGCACCTTATATATTTTAAAAGATAAGACAGTTCCTACTCACAGGCCCACAATCTAATGGGTACAATACAAAAGGAGAAAGGAATGAGGAGGGAAGAGGAAAGCAATCTTTGGAGCAGCTTGGGATCGCTCAAGGCCAAAAGTCTGATGGAGTAAAATGCATGTAATGGCCTATTGGAAAGCCTGAAGTGCAAGGGCTAAATGAGCCTCTTGGTGGTAGAGGAGGGGCATTCCTCAACTTCCCTGTGGCACACAAAGGCCCTGCTTCATGTCCCTGCCAGCCATCTTTCGAAAGGTCCTTCCCCCACTTGCATTTGTGAATCGGCCCCCTGTCGACTGTGGCTGCATGAACAAAAATGAAAGCAGGATGGTGTGCCTAAATCCTCTTCTGTTTTCGCATGCACTCCCCTTATGTACACAGTTCCACTCTTTTTTAAAAACCAACGAAGAGGAAATGAAATGTCCAAAAGAGAGGTTTCCAAAATTTGCTTCTGCTTCGCTTACCAAAGGAGACATAATTACTTACTTACACACACACACACACACACACACACACACACTCCTACAATCCTGCAGTTTCAGCAGGTGACGATGCTCAAGCCTCTCTTCTCAACCTTAAGGGCGAGAAAGTTTTCTCTTCCCCGTAAAGCAGGGGTAGGCAACCTAAGGCCCGGGGACCGGATGCGGCCCAATTGCCTTCTAAATCCGGCCCACAGATGGTCCCGGGAATCAGCGTGTTTTGACATGAGTAGAATGTGTCCTTTTATTTAAAATGCATCTCTGGGTTATTTGTGGGACATAGGAATTTGTTCATTTTTATTTATTTTTTCAAAATATAGTCCGGCCCACCACATGGTCTGAGGGACGGTGGACCGGCCCCCTGCTGAAAAAGTTTGCTGACCCCTGCCGTAAAGTGAATGCTGAGGCTCTTGAGCAGCTGGCTACATGATATGCCCAGTACCACATTTCATTCTCAAAAGGGATTGTAGCCTGGAGCACAGGATCCTTCCTAAATAAAGCACATATGGAAGAGATACCTAACGGACAGCAGAGCTGATTCCTGTTCCACAAGGAGTTTAAAGGGGACCCTGTGAGAGTCTGCTTATGGACCAAGTTGCAAGTGAGGGCATCGCAAAGTGGCAAGATGATTGTCACGGCAGGCAGGCATGCGTTCTTTAGTTTTTCCCAAACTCCTGTTTGTTGGAAGGCGCAGAAACTTGTATTCTTAGTGTCTCACAGTTGTAGATTTCACAGAACCCCTTTAAAATCCTTACTGGAGTTGAAGTTCATGATTAATTTCAAAACTACAGCGGAACCTCGGGTTAAGAACTTAATTGGTTCTGGAGGTATGTTCTTAACCTGAAACTGTTCTTAACCTGAGACACCACTTTAGCTAATGGTGCCTCCCACCGCCGCGCGATTTCTGTTCTCATCCTGAAACAAAGTTCTTAGCCCGAGGTATTATTTCTGGGTTAGTGGAGTCTGCAACCTGAAGCGTCTGTAACCTGAAGCGTCTGTAACCCGAGGTACCACTGTACTCCAGTTAAACAGGGGGGCGGGGGAACGTAATCAGATTTTATTGGTATTGTGTGCCAAAAACGTCAACTGAAATGAAAAATGTTGGGGTGACCTGGACCCCATCACGTTAATGGAAGAGGATGCAAAAAAGGAAAAAGGACCTATAGTGTACTATGGAAGGGGCCCAATGTAACTCAATCAATTGACAACTCCCCCATGCCATTACAAATAGTGTCATACGTTTGGACTAAGAACTCCTGTTAAAGTTCATAGGAAGCAAATATAACCCCCCCCCCCGCCGTCTTTTTGGATTATTAATATTACTTTATACATGCAGAATGTGCAGGGAAATGTTTGCAAAAACACAAACTGCTTCATTGCTCTTGAAGAGATATGACCACATTTAAGGGTGTTGGGGGTGCTAAGTTTTTCCCCGAACACTTTATGTGTTTGTCTGTTTTGAGAGGTTGTTGTAGACTCACGTAGCTTAGGCATTTCATAGTTTTATTTTCTCATTCAGTGGCAGGAGAGTTAGGATGGGCAAAGGGCACAGGATGGGCATAGAGAGGAAATGGGTCAGAGTGGCACAGTGAGTGGGGGTTCGTGATCCCTGCCCCACCCACTGCCATCTCAGTCTCCACCCACAATGGCATCCTACCCAACCCCACATACTGCCTTTGAGGAAATATGGACTCAACAGATAACCCCTCATAGCTTAGCAAGGTGGACCCCTTGAAGTTAACGGAACTTAAGCTAGTCATGTACATTAACTACAGTCAGTCTACTCTGAGGAGCAGCAGCATTGGAGAGAACCCTCTTCCTTTTGAAAAGGTGCAGCGGGGGGTGGGGGTGGAGAAAACCCACACAACACAGATCTCACAAGACAGAGAGTGTCAAAGAGAACGTGGATTATGTTCATGTTTTGGGGGGACGGACCCAAAAAAGGGGTTATAGTACAAGTATTTCTGACGGGTCCTCAGCAACTTATTCAATGCCAAGTTAGCATCCTTCAGGAAGTTCACTGTTGCTCTTTGACACTCCTCCCTCCACCCTACCCTGCCAAAACACTGTGTGTGTGTGTGTATCCTGAAGATAATTAAAGACTTGGAGTGGTTTGCACCTATAGGGTTTTCCCCTTTTATTGGATTCCTCTGCAATTAACTTCTGCATGTAGTTTCGGTGGAACTGGGAAGGATCTAGGAATGACTTTTCATTTTCATCACAGCACTCTTGATCCTTGGGCTGTGGATGTATGTTTGACCCTTTATTCCTTTTCTTTTTAGCAGTCCAGCAGATAAACCCCCATCTTATATTGTCTGTTCCCTTCCTTCCTTCTGTCCAGGAAAGGAAGTGTGGTTTATTCATTTGTTGTTGTTTTTTAAAACAAAACAAAACAGAGAGAAATATTCTCTAAAATGCATGGTATCCCCATTTTGGATTAATTTATCGCTCCCTGCAATCGTGGTCTGAATTGCCTCCATGAGAACAGGCGCCGAAGTGGTAGTTTAAGAGCAGAGGATGTGTGAATTTTTTACTTATAAAATAAATAGTATTTTAACAAAATAAATAAGTAAGCCTATGTACTCTATAAATTCCAGGCCTATTCAGTGACGCAGATAAAAGGGCATTTGCATAGTTTGCATAATTTCGGCTGCTTCTCCTACTCATAAGGAAATGAAGGCTCAAAACACGGAAAACCTTATTCACTCCACCCCTGCCTGAGATTTATGTGGAACTGCCACATTCCTTCCTCATAAGGGCTAGAAACTTATCTTTTAATGGTAGCTGAGAGCATTAGGATGTCGAATTGTGAGCCCAGAAAGGAGTTATTTGGTTTACATAGCACCATCACTATACAAAGCTCTTTACAGAGATACTAAAAAATCTAAATATGTCCACATTAGTGTTTTTATTTTTATAGACTTGTTATAATTTCTACTACTGTATATCAAAAATCTGGAATGTATTGCTGACCCCCTTACTGTCTCTGCTTCAATATTTCATAACCTGTTTTCTTTGATGATTTTATTCTATGATTGGTGTTGCATTTTAATAAAAACTTTAAAATACAGAGAGAGAGAGAGAGAGAGCGCACTCTGCCTAGGAATCTAACAATTTAAATTAACCCTAAAACTCTGGAGAGCCACTACCATTCAGTGTAGACAACAATTAGCTGGATGAACCAAAGGCAGCTTCCCATGTTCCCGTGTCTTAGAATAATAGAATTGTAGAGTTGGAAGGGACCACAAGGGTCATCTAGTCCAACCCCCTGCAGTGCAGGAATATTTTTGCCCAATGTGGGGCTCGAACCCACAACCCTGAGATTAAGAGGCTCATGCTCTACTGGACCTCAGGGCAGAGCAGGTGCTTAGCATGCAGAAGTCTCCAGGTGCAATCCCTGGCTGGCTCTCCAGGTACAGCTGGGAAAACACTCCCCAGAGAGCTGCTGCCAGTCAGTGTAGGCAGTGCTGAGCTAGGTGGACAAGGGCTCTGGTGCAGGATAAGGCTCCTGACTGAAGTTGCCATTTGTAAACGCTCTCCTCCTCTGTCTTCCAGCCGAGCAGCTGAGCTCTGGTGACACACGCAAACAAGGCAACAACTGTTGGGTGTGTATTCTCTCTGGGGAGCAGTTTCCTTTCATGCAGTGTGGTAGCTAAGGCAGCTGTCCGATTCAATAAGGAGTGTCAGCGTAGAAGCACCTCCTTCCCCCCTCAGCTCAGATGGGTTTCCCTTCTGTCTCTTCTCTCCACCCCTCCCCAATGCATGCACTCTCGCTAGATGTTTGTTTTTTGGGGAGGGGAAGGGGGAGACAGGGATCCAAGGCAGGAAGAATAGCAGCCACAAGTCACAAGCAGAGTTAACCATTTAGAGGCGGCACGTCTCAGACCCGCGTGTTTGCAAGGGTGCAACGCAGCTAAGGATTTTTGAAGTCTTGAAAAAATCACAGAAGGCATCCCACTTTGTTTCCTTCTCTTGCCATCTTTTTGCATGTAAGGCGCAGGAGAGGATTTATGTTGAATGGAGCAAACTTGTGACACACACACAAGAAAGCAACTATGGCCTTTGGGGTTTCTGCAACTTTGAGTTGCACCCCATTCTAGTCGTACTCATAGTGCACTCATTGAAGTTGATGCATCTTAGCTTTGTAAACCGATCTGTATTTTCCTTCAATCAAACAGTATATCCCTCATGTTTTTGAAAAACGACTCCCATAGGTTCATTAAGTTCAGTGGGTCTGCTCTGAGTAGGACTTAGATGGATGTACATGGTACCTCGGGTTAAGTACTTAATTCGTTCCGGAGGTCCGTTCTTAACCTGAAACTGTTCTTAACCTGAAGCACCACTTTAGCTAATGGGGCCTCCCACTGCCACATGATTTCTGTTCTCATCCTGAAGCAAAGTTCTTAACCCGAGGTACTATTTCTGGGTTAGCGGAGTCTGTAACCTGAAGCGTATGTAACCTGAAGCTTATGTAACCCGAGGTACCACTGTAACCCTTTGGAGTTTGTTGAGACCAGAAAATTCCAACACGCACACAAATGTACTTGTGTGTGTTATTTGTTTTTTTCATGCCTGTTTCTTGGAGAGGCATTTTTAGAGCTTTGAAGCAAGCCTGTGACCCTAGTTGGCTGTGGCGTGCCCGGGCCTCTCTTAGGTGAGCTGGGGATTTGAACCTTCAGTGCCTGTGTCCAGCCACTTGCCCAGCCTTTGCCAACCTTGTGCCCTTCAGACACCTTTCACTACAACTCACATCGGCCCTAGACAGATAAATGTGCAAAGTGTAACCTCAGAAATAATGCCTGCTCCTCAGAAGCCGATTCAGGTGTCGTTGTTCAGTGGACATAGAAAGTTGCCTTATGCTAATTCTGACCATTGGTCCATCTAGTTCAGTATTGCCTTCACTGACTGGCAGCAGCTCTCTAGGATTTCAGGCAGGAATGTCATTGCGGATTGAACCTGGCACCACCTTCCTGCAAAGCAGCCAACCAGAGATAACACAGATTGCCCATTTGTTAAGGTTGTCAGAGGAGGGCCATTTTCTGTGTTCCATCTTTTAAGAGACGTATACCAAATAGGTACTGAGCCCTGACTCTGGAAGATTCTGTCATGGGAGGTATATCTGGCCTTGTAAGCAAGAGGAAATCTTGGCTACTGCTCCTACTTTGTTTGGAGCAGAGGCCAGGTTCAGGTCAACACTGACCATGGGCCTGTTTTACAACAGGGCAGCAGCAGCAGGAGCGAGGGAGAAGCAAAACGCCTGTGATTGCAGCAGTGTGCACTAGATTGCTACATATTCCTGTTTAAACCATAGTTTAAATTGCATGCAGATGAGGCCAATGTCTTGTTTTCTGTGCCTAGCTTTCTTTGCCCAAGTACTTTAGATTATGGTGGTGGTGGTGTTTTAAAAATATTCTCTCTCTCTCTCTCTCTCTCTCTCTCTATATATATATATATTATTCTGCCCTTCTAGTTGCCATGCACTGCAAAGAGTGGCTTGCAACAATTTAAAATCGTGATGTGATAAAATGGAACAAAATGCAAAGAACATAAAACAATGAAACAATAAAAATACATAAATATGCAGCAATAAGGTCCATCTGAAAGCAGCAATGACACAAGATCATAGGTGAAAGTGACCTTAGGGGGCTGCCAGAATAAAAGTATTTTTATCAGTCAGTGAAAAACAACCAGAAAGTGGTTGTTATTTTTAGCTGGTTGAGTGGTTTTATTTCTCTTGCTGGGTGTGATGTTTATACGATAGTGTAGATTTTAGAATTTATTTGTACATTCCTTTACAGTCCTTATTTCAGATGATGAACAGCTTATATGTAAGCTTAAAAATAATCATAATAAGTAACTAACCTAGAGCTGGTCCTGCTATTAACCATGATAGATAAGAATAACACCTCTGTGCTGTCAAGCAGTCTGTCTGATTGCAATGAGCTCAAGCAGCAGTGGGATGTCTTTCCTCTTCCATTCATGAGCACCCAGCTTCTGGCAATCAGATATACTGCCTCTGAACAAAGAGATTTGTTCTTCACTACAGTGCTTAATACTACCAGCGCCTGGATAGCCACTGTTGGAAAGGAGACTCTAATTCAAGTGGGTCCTATATTCTTAGTGCCCTGACTTTTTACTCTGTTTTTGTTCATGTGCACCCCATGATCTTGCACACTTGGCTTTAACTCCATTCACTTAGACAGCAGCTTGATGGAATAAAAAAGTATCTGTAAACTTTTTTTTTTTCAAAGGCAAGGAACAGCTGTCTCTCTCTCTCTTTCTTTCTCTCTCTCTCTCTTTCTCTTTTTTTTCTCTCTCTCTCAAAAAAATTAAAATTAAAATTAAATAACCCACATGAACTAAGTTCGTCATTTACATTAGGGGGGTGGGCATCCCCAAAGCTGGAGGTCTGAGGCAGTCAGAAAGCAGGAGGGAGAGGCGGAGGGGGGGGGAAACCCCTCTGGTTTCCAAGGACTGATTAGATGGCATGCCAAGTGTATTAAATTTTGCAGACATTTTAACAGCAATATGCTAGATAGTTGGGTGTCCCCTGAGGCTGGTGGATTTTTTATATCCTTCACAGAAGGTCAAAGCCCTCTTCTCTTTACCCCTCCTTCCTCCTCTCTCTCTCTTTCTCTCTCTCTCTCTGTGTCTGTCTCTCTGTGTCTCTCTCTATCCCTCACTCTCTCCATCCTTCCCTCTCTCTTCCCATTCACTGAGTGCAGGAAATAATCAACCAGCTACAGTTATGTTCACCAGGGGAATTTGCAAATATCTTGACAGCTTCCCTCATGGGCCAAACTGGGGGGGCGGGTTTGCTCTGGGTATTCCCCCCTTTCTTATAGGTCTTCTTCACCCCAGGAGAACGCTCTCTCTCTCTCTCTCTCTCTCTCTCTCTCTCTCTCTCACACACACACACACACAATTTTAAAAGCGAGGGGAAAGGGCCGAAAAGTATTCCATCTGGCATCTGAATAATTAAAATGGCTCAACTCTGTTCCTGTTGCTGCTTGCTCTCAGTTCTTCAGCTCACCCCATCCTTTCCAGCAATCCTCACAGGGTGGGGGTGAGGGGCAGGATTTGAAGGCAAGGAGGTACCAATTCTTTGGGGCTCTATTTGGCAGAGAGGGCTGAATCCACAACCCTGAGACCAGCTTTGGACGTTGCAGGGTGTGTGCCTGGCCAGTCGTGCAAGTGAACTTGGCTTTCCAACCACCTGTCTGATATCTGACAGGCAACCTGAGGAGGTCGATTTGGCCAGGGAAACAGAACAGTGGCCCTCCAGCTTGATGAAAAAACCTGTGAAACCAGAAAGCTTGCACGCTCCTTAAACAGCTTGCGTTTTACGGGCGTACATTTGGTGAAGGGCCGTAGCTCAGTGGCAGAGCACCTGCTTTGCATGCAGCAGGTTCCAGGTTTGATCCGCAATGGCAGGTAGGACTAGGAATGCCTCTCCCCTCCCCCCTTCTGAATCCCTGGAGGCCTGCTGCCAGTCAGTGTGGACAATATTGAGCTAGATGGATCAATTGTCTGACTCAATATAAAAGAAGCTTCCTATGTTTCTGTACAGCCTACTTTATGCTTCTTCTCTTTAGGACCAACATGGTAACTGCTTGTCTGCTGTCTTATGAGCTGCATCATGCATAGTAACCTCCCGTCATGTAGAGATAAAATACCTAGGCAGAAAAAATGGTGCGTGCACCTAAGTATACATATTGTATTTGATCGTTGAGACTGGGTGAGGTTGGATAGCTCAGTTGGGTGAAAGATTCCTGCTTTGCAGTGGTTTCCACTAGATGACCCTCGTGACCTCTTCCAACTCTATGATCCTATGATTCTAAGTGTCTATTTTGACACACACACACAAAAATCCTTCCAGTAGTACCTTAGAAACCAACTAAGTTTGTTATTGGTATGAGCTTTCGTGTGCATGCACACTTCTTCAGGCATGCACACGAAAGTTCATACCAATAACAAACTTAGTTGGTCTCTAAGGTACTACTGGAAGGAATTTTTTCATTTTGTTTCGACTACGGCAGACCAACACGGCTACCTACCTGTATTGCACTTGTCTGGGAGCTGCAGCCAACAGTGCACTGAACACTAACTCAGACTAGGTGAAACTAACTCAGATTAGGGAAAGATGCCGTCGGAGGCCTTGTGCTTCTGAATACTAGTTGCTGGAAACCACAAGAAGCAATAGTTGCTGTTGTGCTAAGGTCCTCCTTGCAGACTTCCCATAAGTATCTGAATTACCCTTGAGAACAGGATGCTGGTCCTTGGCCTGATCCAGCAGGCTCTTCTTATGTTCTTACGCTAATTAAGAACTAAGATGCTGGGCCCAGTCATTTGTTTTCCATATCAG